CCGGTTCTGAAGAGGAAAGAGGGGCGACGGCTCTAGGTCCGAAAAAAATAGAAGAAAAAATAGGTCCAATTTTTTTTATTTATATATAGTTTGAGTAGGCTTTTTTTATTCTTAATTCAATTAATTAGACAAATGTTTAATTTTGTTGACAATTTGAAAATCTAAAATATAAATAAAAAGTCCTAAAGAGGGCCAACCTAAAAAAGAATATATATACATTAATTTTAAGTATGATCGATTGTAGTTTTTAAAATCAATACAATTATTGATGCATCAATAAAAGACACGCCTCTTTAGTTTTCACATCTCTTTAGTCTTTAAGGCTTTTTATTCATTTTTATTATAACATAAAACCTTTATATAATTATTTTAAAGCCTATCTCTCTCAAATCTCATCTCAATTATTTATTTGTTTCCATCAACAATCAATAAATCATTACTTATGAATTCAATATGTAGTACTACCTCCGTCCCAAAAAGGTTCGCCATATTGATTTTTCTTGGTCAAATGATAAGAAATTCTGGACAATGATTTTAATTATTTTATTTGTATACTCCTTCTATCCCACAATGAACTTTACAGTTTGACATACACACATATTAAGGAAATAAACTTACCATGGGGTAAATTTTACTGTTTTGACACTGTTTGACACTGTTTTGCACTGTTTTGATGTAGATTAACTTGCCATTTAAGGAAATGAGAACTTGTTTCTGGGATATCCAAAAAAGGAAAGTGAGAAGTTCATTGCAGGATGGAGGGAGTATATAATTTATAAATTTTATAATTTTATGAAAATATATTGAATAAGGTACATTTTGATATAATTTTCATATTCAAAACAAATTCGTATTAAAACATATTATTAGTCCAAGTTGATTGTCATTGACCAAGAAAAGTCAATTTGGCGAACCTTTTCGGTACAGAGAGAGTAGTATTTTGTTTTTCATTTATCATTTCAAAAGAAATTTTAGTGTTGTTATATGTGGTAATTTTATTGTTTGTCATATTTATTAGTGGAAAGAAGGTTGCTTATGAAGCGATTATTGATGATTTGCTTCACATTGTTCTACGAGAAACGGTTTTTAGTAATGTTTTTTTCTTTTTATCCGATACTCGTGTTGTTATTTTTGTCCAAATATATAACTTAAATAATTATAAAGTGATTTCCGCCTTTATTTTATGAACTTCATTGGATACTTCTATTATAATTCATATTTCAAATAAGTATATGGTTTACGATTTATCTTAGATATAGGCCCAGGATACTGTACCGTCCATAAGCCCAGAAATGAGTAGGATCGGCCTTACAAACAAGCATACTTGTCCATATATTAAACCGTAAATCATTTGGATGTCCGTATGTTTCAAGAAAAATATCTAGCTTGTTAAAAAAATATTTTTGAAAAACGTATTGCTTCCAATCTATTTTTTTTTTGGAAGAAAAAATTTAAATTTAAATTTGTTAATGCATTAAAATTCTGTTTGCTAACCTTTTTATGGCTTATAAATTTTATTAGCCTATTTTTTTTACCAAATACTAATGTTTTCATTTCACGCGTTGTGTAGTAAACAAAATAGGTAAAACTTTTGAATGAATTTTCCAAAAAGAAACATTTGAAGTATATAAAATATTTGTAGTTTTTTCATAATTTAGTAGTTTCAGTCGATTCATTTTCTCACCCATAATTTTAACAATTTCAATAGACTAACTGATTCGGCAAAATTGGACATTACCCAAACTATCAACAATTTCAATGGACTTTATGCCGTTATGGAGCTAGAATGCTTTCCTATAAACAAACGTATCCTTGATATTCATTTGGTAATTAATCAAGTTTTCTAACTTCATTATATTATACTTCTCCGTTCTTTTTTAATTGTAACGGCCTACTTTTCACGTTTGCCAACACACAAGTTTGACCATTAATATCTTTCAACCTTATTAGTAAAAAAAATTAAAAAAATTTGATTTTGAAAGTTTAAAATGAGAAGAATTTATTCTTTTAAAATTTAATTTATATTACATTAATAAATAAAAAAGAGTCAAAGTAGTACATGTGAATAGTGAAAAAAGTCCAATGGTGCTTTTAAAAAAGAACGGATGTAGTGTTAGTATTATAGTTTGATCGACCCAACCTAAAGATTACACAACCTATTTAACTAGATCGGAGATAATGTTTCTGTTCCACTGGATTCTGTCAATTTTTCCTTTTTCATTTGTCCCCAAAACTTTGTCACTTTTTCTCACAAATCTCAACAACCCCATTGTTTATTTTTCTAATTCCTCACCCAATATAAATTCACAAAATTGAGTGGGACACAAGTAATATAAGGAACTTTGACCCAAAAGTCAATGTCGCTAGAGAGAAATATGGTGGAACAAATATTGTTGGCCGGGATGGGATCTAAGAGTTGTTCTTGCCGACGAACCCATGAAAGTGATTCATTGTAAGAGAATTTGATTTGCATCTCAAGTTTTGGATGATATTGGACTTTGCACTCTATTTTCAAAATCATTAATGTGTGCATCTCATATTCTATGAGCTAAAAAATTGTGAAGAAGTGGGGTGCAAAGTCAAATGATTTTATAGTGTATTGAGATGCATATATTAATGATTTTGAAAATAGAATGCAAAGTCAAATATCATTCAAAAACTATGATGCAAATAGAATGCAAAGTCAAAATTTCCCTTGAAAATACGGTGAACCCAAAAGGCCAAAGAGTACATCTCACATCGTAAAGATGCTAGTTAATGATAACTGTGCTTTTAACTGCGCAGTTATCTTCAAGATTTCATTTGAATGCCTTTCTGATTGAAGTTTTAGCTGAAATTTGGTATGCGTAAACTAGACTTAATGAATAAGATGCTCAAAAAATTTCATCAAAAAATTCCACCGGGAACCGCCCCAAATGGTGACGACCGCACAGAACCTCCTATATAAGGGTTTATTTGACCTTTTTATGTAAGTTCGAGGGCCTGACCCTTTTCCCAATGAATAAATAATCTGTTTTGGCAGAAAAAGAACGAGGCTTTTAGAGGCCAAAATATTTAACAGCTTGATTAAATTCTCAAATACTAGTGAATTTTGAATAAGAACTTTTTTGAACATTTTGATTTACCTAATAAATCTGGACTTGTGTGCATCGATAGCTTCCTGGAGGGGCCTCAAGTTTATCCTATAGACTAGGGATGGACTCGGCTCCGGGCCGGGCCGGGCCGGGCCCATTATAATTTTTTTTTTGTTTTCCTCTTCCTAATTAACCCCCCTCCCACCCCAACCCCCAAATCACTCCTAAATGGCCCAAAATACCCAGCCCAACCCAAAAATTTTAAAAAAATTGAAAAAAAAATAGTTTTTGGCCTGAACCGGGCCCGGGCCCGGCCGGGTCGGGCCTTGTTTTGGGTGACCCGAGTCCGGACCGGAAAACCCACGGGCCGGACCTACCCGGACCGGTCACTGACCGGGCCACCGGGTCGGGCTGGGCCGGAACAGTACCTGTCCCGGGCCGGTTCTGGGTCGGGCCACCCGGCCCGAGTCCATCACTACTATAGACTAGTGGCAATTCGCGTTTGGTGGCATGTATTCGGTGCAGAAAGTGAAAGGATGCCGAGGAATGTGATGAACAAGGAGCAGAGTGAAGAAGAAGCAGTATTGATAGTTTGTCTGCCTCTTGAACCGTTATCATGCAACATGGGTCATGTGGTTAGAGTTTGGAAGACGTCCTTCAAGATTGCTTATGTTTCTAGGTTGTTTATTGCTCTATATTCCTTTTCTGCCTTATTTATGTTTCTTTGTATTTTTTAGTTTTATTTGGTTTTTTTTTGTTAGTGGTTTTTCTAAGATGCTTATGACCATTATTTGTCTATGGAGGGGATTTTTTTGGCTATTTTGAGTTTACTGATGTGGTAAAGAGTACATTGGTCTTAACGGTCTAGAAGAACTTTATATTACGCATTTGGTGGTGAGCGATTCATGCTGCTTCTTTGAAGAGCTCGTAAATTCTTGCTCTTTCTCCAGTACTTTGCAAAACTCTGGTTAACATTGAGTTTACATTATGGAGTTTGTTACAAAATAGTTGGATTTTGAGTTACTTGTTGTTTGTAACTGGAAACCATTAGTTAAATTAATATAATTTGACATTTTTCCCTTCAAAAAATCTCGAAAACCGAATATAGTATACTCCAAATTTTATGACTTAGTGTATTCATTTTAGGGAAAAGGGGCAAATAAGCCCACATACTAACCAAAAAAGGTCAAATAAATCCTTATATAGGAGGCTCTGTCCGACCATCGCCAGTTGGGGCATTCCCGGTGGAATTTTTTAATGAATTTTTTTGAGAATCTTATTCATTAAGTCTAGTTTACTCATACCATATTTCAGCTAACAATAGGACTACTTATATTTTTTCAAAATATAACGTATATGATCCTATTAAAAGTATAAAGCTTCCTTCATTAAGATCTAATAAGTCATATTTTAGCAAGAAAAGAATGATGATCCAATTTATGCATTTTATATTCCTGTTTAAGAAATTTTCGTTAATGTTAAAAGTTAAGAACTTCAATAAAAGTTCCATGACTTCCATGTAGCGAGTTAACCGTCCCAAATGTAGTACATTCGTACTCTATAAATATTTTAGTTTGTCTAAAAGGTTGAATCTTCAATTTGGACTATCAAGCTCCAGAACATGTGATGGGATGTAAATATCAGTGACTCATCAATCCTAACGATGATAAATCGTATACTTGTGCGCATAATAGGTCCAGCCTAACACACAGAATTGTAACCTCCACACGGTAACTATGAGTTTTAATCATTTGACTATTCCTCTAGATCCAACGAAACTTATGAGAAGTTGTAAATATCGATGATTCAGTCCTAACAATAACAGACCTCATGCTTGTGAACAAGAGGTCCAACCAAACTTTTCATCCACTAAGAATTTTGATCATGATCATTCATCCAGACTTCCCACATATTTTGATCCACTTTTTATAATTCAGTACATTCAGCCAATTGAGTATCTTCGACATGTTCCAATTTTACGAAAATGACTCTATAATAAAGTTATTATAGAAAATGAAAAGAAATGCGTACTTGTTTGGGGATGCATGGGCTGGCAAGAGAGGAAGGAATTGAAGTGCATATAAAATGGGAGAAGAGGAAAGGAGAATAGAAGGGGTAGTAGTGTCACATGCCTTCATTTATACATGTCGTTGACCTTTCATCCTTTGCTATCAACTAGCTGCCCATCTCTTCTATGACACTAATATATTCTCAAGCTCCTTCCACACCACTCATCACTCTAAGCTTCCCACTCCCTCAATCCTCATCTCCTCCTCCTCATCCTCATATATATATAACCTATTTGCCCACAAATTCCTCCTCTAGAATCAACCCCCCCATCACGTTACATATTTTGCCCCAAATTAACTAAACATAGCTAATACACTACAGATCAAAACTCCCTTACTTTATATACCCATATTAGTTCATTAGCATACTTTTGGTTGATTTTGATCCGCGGGATATGGGGCGATCGCCGTGCTGCGACAAAGTCGGGCTGAAGAAAGGGCCGTGGACGCCGGAAGAAGATCAGAAGCTTTTGGCCTATATTGAGCAGCATGGCCATGGCAGCTGGCGGGCTTTGCCTTCCAAAGCTGGTATGTAATTGCAAAATCTAGTGTCAGTTTGTGTCATATGAGTGAATGAATGAAGAGAGCTCTTTAATTATGGCTTTGGGTGATCATTTTAGGTCTGCAAAGATGTGGAAAGAGTTGCCGTCTGAGATGGACCAATTATCTAAGACCTGATATTAAGAGGGGGAAATTCAATGTGCAGGAAGAACAAACCATTATCCAACTCCATGCTCTTCTAGGAAACCGGTAATTACACTTCTTTTAGTGTATTATAAAAGTCAATAAAGTTCAAACAAGCAATTTCATCATAATAGAAGTGGAGTACATAGAATTGGCATTTCAGAAGTCGATCACTTCTACTCCTCAAAAACTGCTTCTACGAGCAATTTGGACCAGAAGTAATTTTAAGAAATAGATCCAAATACTATGAAACAAAGAAAACTTTAATATAGACATATTTCAATTGCTAAGATATCTTAACCTTTCCAATTTCCATCATTCACACAATATACATAGGGGTGTTTAGAATTGATTACGCTTCTATTTCATTTATTTGAAAAACAGAACCAGAATAAGAATCATTTTTTCAGAAGTTATCACTCTCAACTTCTAAAAGACTGTTTCTATTAGCACTTTGAAATATCCAAAATACTTCTTCATTTTCAGTCAAATATGAGTGAATCTATAGATATTTATGAGTGAATCAGCTCAATCTGCATGTTCATAAGAATTGCAGATGAACTTTTACACATGTTAGGCAAAACAATGTATTTGATTCTTGGGAATTTCAAATTCTAATATGGAATATCATTGTTGTCTTTTTAATTGTGTTGGTGTCAGGTGGTCCGCCATAGCCACGCACTTGCCGAAGCGGACGGATAATGAGATAAAGAATTACTGGAATACCCATCTGAAAAAGCGGCTGGCGAAGATGGGGATCGATCCGGTGACCCACAAGCCCAAGAACGACGCCCTCTTGACATCCTCCAACGACGGCAACTCCAAGAGCGCCGCCAATCTCAGCCACATGGCCCAGTGGGAAAGCGCCCGCCTCGAAGCCGAAGCCAGGCTCGCCCGGCAATCCAAGCTCCGGTCCGCTTCCACCACCCCTCTCGCCCAGACCGCCGCATCTCCGGCGTGCCTTGAAATTCTAAAGGCATGGGGTAGCTTCGATAGTGGACCCTTCTCTCTCGCCGGACTCGAGGATCCCATCGAGTCCCCCACGTCGACTCTGAGCTATTCGGATATCAAGCCGGCGCACATGTCTGGGATGCCGGCGCCGGAGCACTTACAGCCGGAGTACAAACACGTCGACGAGTTCCCGCCGGAGATGATGGAGAGCGCGTGGACGCACGACCAGATCCCCGGTGGGAATTTCGTGGAGAGGTTCACGGATCTTTTGCTGAGCGCAAATTCGACGGAGGAACGGTGCTTGTCGGAGGCCGGTAGCACGGAGTCCGTGAACGCCGGCGACGGCACCGGCAATCATTGTTATGAAGATAACAAGATTTACTGGGACAGCATACTAAATCTGGTCAATTCTTCGCCGTCGGATTCGCCTATGTTTTAGAAGCACAGTATAATAGAGTAAAAATTTCATTTCCTTCTAGACGTTTTGCAAACGATCTTACTTTTATCCTTATCACAGACGATTCATTTTAGTCGAATGCTGAAAATTATCTGTTACAAGAACGAGATATAGAGAACGTGTACGAAATGTGTGGGAAGGACGTGTACAACAAAAATTGTTCTAAGATAGAGTATGGTGTTGATTGTATGTACTATCTAGTGTCATTATTTTAAAAAAAATCACTTAGATCACCATTAAAAGTTTACATTGTATTCTAAACATCAAACCTTAATTCTTATTATTGTCGTTCTATCTTAAACCGGACCCAAAAGTGCCTTGTTTAAGCGAAAAGGTCTACTCCATTTAGCTATTAATTCAGATTCATCACATCATAGGGGTCGTTTGTTTCTTGGCGGTTTCGGCCAAAACACCGCAAAATGCAGCGATTTCTATTTTTAAATAAATGGCGATTTGGCCTAAGCCGTTGGTATCCAAACGGGGCCATAGTATAGTGATGGAGTATATGGCCTAAGGACCCCCGACCCATATAATACCACTATCGCATTTAGGCCCAACAGACCCAAAACGGACCAAGTCCATCAGAATGAAGCTCTAAAAAACCAACAATACGCATGTGGGGTGCAGGGGCGGACCGTAGTAGAGATCCAGGGGGGCTACCGCCCCCCAACAGATTTTTTTTTAGTGTATATATATACGAAAAATGATTTTTGTTCTTCCAAAAAGTATTTTGAACCCCCCCCCCCAAATGACTTTACTGGGTCCGCCCCTGGCGGGGTGCCTTCGGCGCCATGGCCGAAGGATACCATTTACGGATTCGAGCTCAGAAACATCACAGGAGAACAAGGCTTGAAAACCAAGCCTTTGGCAATTGGAGCCCTCGGCACTATGAGGCCCCCGGTACGCAGAGCCTTCGAACTGTCATCTACAGCCGAAGGCATCCTCCTCGACAGAATTTCCCATCCACATACGCTGGATCAACGTACCAAGTACAAACGTCGCATCCAACCACCGCATTTAATGCGGCCACATGCGAGTGCCAGTGCCACCCCAGTTGAGGTGACCCCTCGACCATCAGATTGTTGACACGTGTCCATATCTAGCATTTATTGTTACTATAAATAGCAGCCCATTTCCCCATTGTAAAAGAACAACGGGTTCACATGATCGAATACTTTCTCTCTCTTACTTATTTGCTCTGACTTCTCTCTAGTCACTCCCCGCAGTAACCCCTCGGATAAGCTACCCCCTGGGTACACTATCCATCATTTGGTGCTCTCGTTGAGAGGTCGAACAATCAAGTAAGAAACCCTCCCCTTCAGTTCAAAATACCTACCAAAATGGGAAGAACCACTCGTGCTCAGTCCAAGAACCTTGAGGACAACAACCTGGCCCTCGGTGAAGTCAACGCCCCCGGAGCATCCAACAAGGCTCCCGAGGGCGGGGTCATCACTGAGTTGGAACAGGCTCCTGTTGACTTGCGCCTTCAGCTTCAGCAGAACGCTCCTGATGCCCGTCTTGGCATCGAAACCCAAAGGAGGGACCGGAGTGAGAATCAAGTGAGTCCTCCGGTTCTCACCATTGACGTACATTCAGCATTCTCCGCCTTCATCCAAATGCTCGCCCAGAATCCAGGTACCTTCGGCACGCTCGTATCACTTCAGCCGCAGGTCGGGGAGAACGCCATTCCTCCCCCTCCTCCGCCCCCCTTCGAGAACCCTATCACTCGGCTAGGGAACAACGAGGGGGTCATGGCCCAAGATACCACATCCCAGGAGGTCCAATCCCGGAAGCAACGCGATGCAAACAGGGATAGGCCCCGGACCTCCGCCCTGGAACGGCTCGGAGGGGCGCAAAACCGCCGAGGGGTCCAAGACTGCCTCAGAGGAAAGGTGCTCCAAAGACCTCAGGAAAGTGGAGGTTCCGTCTCAAGGGCAGATGAGAGGCATCCCACTCAGGACAGAGGCAAGGCACCACTCCATGTCGATGACGCAAGACATCAAATCAACTAGGCCCACTCGGCCTGTGTTCGTTCGCAGGGGGCAGAGGCCCTCCTGAAGGATCACAGGGACGAAATCATTGAAGCCCTCCAACGCCGCCTTGATGAGATGGAGGCATGTCAAGCGCACACAACAACTTCCGCCTCCCAGACGGATCCCAAATACACCGTCATGCTGGCCAAAATGGAAGAGATGCAAAAGAAAATAGCTGAGGGCTCCGGGGAACCCGTAATCCAAATGCGGACTAGGACGCCATTTACCCTGAGGGTATTGGCGGCCCAAATTCTGGAAAAATACCAGGGGCAACCCATCAGGCCCTATGAAGGAAAGACAGATCCCCAGGAGCATTACAGCAGATATCAGAACATTATGATGATGGTGGGGGCATCGGACGAATATTTGTGCCGTAGGTTCCTCTCCACCTCAGAGGGACCAGCGTATGAATGGTTCAACCGATTGCCCGAAGGTTGCATCGATTCATGGCAGGAACTCGCCCAACATTTCTTGACGCAGTTTGTAGGGAGGCGCCTGTAACACCCCGCCCTCTAGGGCTCGAGGTAGTTACTACAACACACCCTCCAGACCTCTAGTACTGTCCTCACAAACCGCCACTAGCCTTTTCCGCACACTTTGTCCTCACTCATGCGCGCCCTGAGAAACTTCCCAAGGGGTCACCAATCCCAAGACTACTCCCATGCACGCACACTTAACTTTGGAGTTCTTGGCTAATGAGCTCCCTTAAAAGAAGATGCACCTTGTTGGTATGAGTAGTATTATTAATCCGTTTAAATTAAATTAAAACTCAAGTATTACAATTACCCCCACTTAGGAATGCAACGGCCTCGTTGCGCCCATAAACCAATCTCAATCATATCCCAGAATCTTTTCCCCTACTAAGTGCCCGCCCGATATCCAATGGATCAGCACACTATCGCGGGATTGCTCTGATACCATTTGTAACACCCCGCCTCGTAAGGCCCGAGGTAGTTACTACAACACACCCTCTTGACCTCTAGTACGGTCCTCACAAACCGTCACTAGCCTTTTCCGCGCACTTTGTCCTCACTCGTGTGCACAAAGGAAGAAGTGGACTCCATTGCTTTATGTGGGGGAAGTCACTCATATGCCCCCCGTAAAGCGGCTGAGGGAGGAACCCATTACATTCACCAACGCCGATCTCCCCCGGCTTCCTCTCCTCACAAGAATGCATTGGTGATCTAGAGTGAAATCAACAACACCATCGTCCACAGAACTTACGTTGACACGGGTAGCTCCGTCCACGTAATGTACCTCAACACATTTAGGGAGCTGCATCTGGAGAGGGAGTCCCTTTGGCCCATCAAGACCCCTCTGGTCGGCTTCACCGGAGACACCATTGATTTGGAGGGGGTCATAACTCTCCCGGTACTTTTCGGCGACGGTCTCCTAGAGCCAAGCTCGAAGTGGAGTTCGTCGTCGTCAACATCGACTGCGCCCACAGCATCACCCACCAAGGGTCCCACATGGTCCCGGGACTCCATGAACTTTCAAAAAAATACCTATATAAATTAATAATAAAATGTATATGTAAGATGAAAGCTAATTGAGAACATGAATTTGACATTGGAGCAGTGGAAGCATGCTTGAATCTTAAAGTTTAGCTCCTCACGGAGGTACAGGGTTCAATTCTTAGGCGTCTCTTTTTGTTTTTTCCCTATTTATTAGGGAAAACAACTTTTTTGGCAAGGGAAAACAACATAAGCAGTACTATAAGCGTATTTCCGAATATTATTTATTGATTCGACATTAGTTTTTAATGTCTTAAATTAGTGGATTTTATTTAAAGTGACTCCAATTTATATTTGTTCTACACTCAAATAGTTGACATTATTAAAAGCTATTTCTAAAGTATGTATTATTAATGGTTCATTGAAGATAGTTTGTATTAGGAGTAATTTGAGTTTGCACTCCATTTTATTGTCCAAATTGGACTTTGCACCCCGTTTTTAAAAATATTTGTTTTTGCACCCCAATCCCGTATGAAAAGACAAAAACACCCATCGATCAGGAATATGTTGAAGGCCAACAAAATTGATACTGGAGGGACATTTTTGTCTTTTCATAAGGGGTTGGGGTGCATAAACAAAAATTTTTAAAAATGTTGTGCAAAGTCCAATTTGGACAGTAAAATGGGGTGCAAACTCAAATTACCCCTTTGTATTATTTAAAGTTATTTTCCCTATTTATTATTTTAAGGTGCCATAAATAATCGCTCGTTTAGAAAATTATTGGAATAAACATACTATAATTATAGGATATTATTTTTCTATCTGTGGCATAATTTTTTTTCTAAACGAACGATTATTAATTTTCTAAACGAACGGTTATTTATGTCACTTCATTTTCTGAACGATCTTAGTTTTATAGTAATTAGACTTGGATTAGAGATATAAAAGGGTAGGGACTCCGTGGCTCCGACTTTCTGGGTCCGTCACTGGTCATCGGCCAAATCTCAGGGGAATATGAGGCCAAGGAAGGAAGGATGAAGCAATACAAGGAAGCGGTCAGAGAGTTGCTTAAGGTATTTGAGGCCCATTCTCTCACTCAAATACCGAGTGCTCAAAACTCTGAGGCCGACATTTTATCAAAGCTCTCGGCTGAATCCCCGGAGCACCTCTCGAAGATTGCGAGAATTGAGAAACTCAGCCTCCCAAGCATACACGCCAGCCCCGTCATGCAAATACAACAAAGGCCAGAGGACTGGATCTCAGATATTGTCAACTTCATCTCGATAGGGCAGCTGCCCGAGGATGAAACCCGCGCCAAACTGGCAAAGCTGAGAGCTCCAAGCTATACCCTCGAAGATGGAAGGCTCTATAAACGCTCCTACAACGGAATGCTACTACGGTGCCTTCATCAAGATGAGGCCGAAGTCGCGATGGAAGAAGTGCACAGTGGCACTTGTTCAGCTCACCAGGGACCCTTCTCCATGTCTCGAAGGCTCATAGTCCAAGGATACTTCTGGCCTACGATGGCCCGAGATTGTGCGGATCTCGCCCGAAGGTGTGCTACCTGTCAACACTTTCATAAGGCTCCCGGCAGGCCAGCAGTCAACTATGCCCCCATCAGCACATCCATACCCTTCTCTAGATGGGGCATAGACCTTGTGGGCCCTCTGCCGAGGAGTATCTCCAACAACAGGTACATCATCGTTGCCATTGACTACTTCACGAAGTGGGAGGAGGCTGAGCCCCTAGCCAGCATCACCGAAGCTAGATGTCGCCACTTTGTCCTCAAGAACATCCTCATAAGGTTTGGCGTCCCTCAA